GTAATGATTTGTATTGAAGATCTTTCCATATTAGTGAAAGAGAACTTCTTTACTCTTTCTTGTCAGTGCTTTATACTCGATGCTGTGGATGTGCCATAATTTATTTAACAACATCACTCTTGATTGATGATCCCTTTTAAAAAAAATGTGTATAATGCTGCAGTAAACAACCTCACATATATGATAAATTTCTAGAGGAGGAGGTACTGCTGGGTCAAAGGGTAACTGCATTTATATTTATATATGTATATTTATTTATTTATTTTTGAGATGGAGTTTTGCCCTTGTTGCCCAGGCTGGAGTGCAACCATGTGATTTCAGCTCACAGCAACCTCCGCCTCCCGGGTTCAAGTAATTCTCCTGCTTCAGCCTTCCCGAGTAGCTGGGATTAGAGGCATGCGCCGCCACGCCCAGCTAATTTTGTATTTTTAGCAGAGACAGGGTTTCTCCATGTTGATCAGGCTGGTCTCAAACTCCTGACCCTGTGATCCACCTGCCTTAGCCTCCGAAAGTGCTGGGATTACAGGCATGAGCCGCCACACCCAGCCTGTTGCGTGGTTTAAACTTGTCTTTCCTTTGCTCTTGCTGTATGACTACTATGATTGTCATGCCACCTTTTCACACAGTGTTGGACTTTTTGGTTTGAATCTCTGTTTACCCCACTGGACTGTGAATCTTGAGGGTAGAAACCATATCTTATTGATCCATATCCATCACAGTGCCTGGATGTACTAGGCACATTGTGTTTGTTTTTAAATTGAACAAAATTTGAATGAATTTATTGAAATTATAGTTCTCCATCAAGGACTCTCTTGAATAAATTAGATAATCTTTTTTTTTTTTTTTTTTTTTTTGAGACAGGGTCTTGCTCTGTTGCCCAGGCTGGAGTGCAGTGTGATCTCAGCTCCTGCAACCTCTGCCTCCTGGGCTCAAGCCAACCTCCCACAGTCTCCCAAACAGTGTGACTACAGTTGTGTACCACCATGCCCAGCTAATTTTTGTGTTTTTGTTGTAGAGACAGGGTTTTGCCACATAGCCCAGGCTGGTCTTGAATTACTAGACTCAAGGTATTCACCTGCCTCAGCCTCCTGAAGTGCTGGGATTACAGGTTGTGAGCCACCTTGCCAGGCCCTTAGATAAGCTTTCAAAAGTCCTTTCACAAGCCAGAGTTGTCTGCTAGCTAGTGGAGCTCACAGACATAGTCTTGCTAGTTCTTTTGCATGGATTGAGAGGCTTTTAGAAATTAGTCACTGCACTGGGTGAGGTGGCGCATGCCTGTAATCCCAGCACTTTGGGAGGCCTGAGGTGGGCAGATCACCTGAGGTCGGGAGTTCGAGACCAGCCTAACATGGTGAAACCCTGTCTCTACTTAAAATACGAAAATTAGCCCGGCGTGGTGGTAGGTGCCTGTAATTCCAGCTACTTGGGAGGCTGAGGCAGGGGAATTGCTTGAACCTGGGCGGCAGAGGTTGCAGTGAGCTGAGATCGTACCATTGCACTCCAGCCTGGGTGACAGAGTGAGACTCCATTTCAAAAAAAAAAAGGGAGAAAGAAAACTTAGTCACCACTCTAACTTCATTATCTGTTCCCTCCAAAACTCATTTTAAGATTTAATTGATGTGGGGCCTTTAAGGGCTGATTAGATCGTGAAGGCTCTGTCCTTATTAATGGATTAATGTCAATATTGAGGGAGTGGGTTAGTTATTATGAGACTGGGTTTGTCATAAAAACAAGTTGGCCAATTTCCTCTCTCTATGTTGTGCACTTGATTCTGCCTTCCGCCATGGGATGACCCTCACCAGATGCCAGCGCCATATTCTTGGAGTGCTCAGCCTTCAGAACCATGAGCCAAATAAACTTGTTTATGAATTGCTTAGTCTGTGGTATTCTGTTAGTAGCAGCAGAAAATGGACTGAGACAGTCATAGCCTCAGATCTTACGTCGTTAGGATTCTTTTGGGCTAACCCAGGAAGAAGTTTTATATAGTGTCTCGATTGGCTGAAACTAGCTTTGTTTGGAAGTTTGCCTTTCCTGTCCTGGTGTCCTGGAAAACAATGCTTGCACGTTCCCTTCCAGAAGCAGATGGGTTTGCTGCTATCCATACTTCTTGCCCATTAATTATAGGAATTGCACAACTCCTTACATTGCCTTTTTGACCCCTTTGGATTCTAGAATAGGCATACATGTAGTTAGCAAGACTAAAGACATTATTAGCTCAGCTAATTAAAAAATGATGGGTGTCAGACTCAGGACTTTCCTTGATGTGGCAGCAGTTTGACTTTGCTAGGAAGCTCAGAGAGTGTCTCACAAGTTGAGCTGGAAAGGCTTCACAGAATCCTGCCCGATACACTGGAAGTGCCACATTAGACCAGGCTTTGGTCTGTTTGCCACTTCTGGCATCCCTTTGGAGCCCCCACCCTTAGACTCACGACACCTTTCTCTCTTTTCCTCTTGGCCATATACTGACTTCCTAGCCACTTTTGCTCATTGAAGACCCTAGTGCCTAATTCACAGCCTTCCTTTCCACTCCAGCTCCTGCCATCATCTTGGGTGGTTTCATCCTCGTCACGTGACCCATCAAGTGCCTTGGCTACTAGCTTTTTTGGCTTCCATGTCCACCCCACTAATCTCTTCTACTCCACCTCTGGTATTCTCTCCCACAATGACACGCTGGTCTTGTCATCAGCTGAAAGGGTTTAGCTCCAGTATCACGAATTCAGAAACAGTTAGCCTTCTACTGCAATATGGCCTTGCTTCTCATTGCTCTAATTTCTCCAGGATACTGATTGTTCAACTTCATGTTGCCAGATCCGCTGGATGCTATTTGGCCCACAACTTCCTTACCTCTCAGCAGCATTTGACACAACTGATGGTTTTCTCTTTATTGAAACATTTTTTGTCCTGATATTTTAACCTCAACTTTTTTTTTCTACATTTCTGACCCACTCAGTACTTCACCTCCTTTGCTAGTTCTTTCTACTCTAAAATTTAACGGTTGGGTTTCTTTAATGACTCAGTCCTCTTCCCTTTACCATTATAAGTTTCTACTATATCAGAAGTTGTATTTCCCATTTGTTCTTAAAATTGTTTCTTTATGCCTTCACCACCAAAGGAAAAACTATTTATTGCAGTAAATTAATACAGCAGGTATTCCTGTGAAAGCACAAATCAGTTTGTTAGGGCAATTAAAACTTTTTTTTTTCTTTTATTTCTTCTCTTAGGGCAATTAAAACTTCTACGACATACGCTGTAGCAGAGTTCCGTCTCTGCCACTGGCAGCTTAAGATCTGCCTTCTTGAGAGTGATTTTTGCCAGTTGCTTTTCCCTCTCTGTTGCCGTTTGCTTTCTGGACCACCTGTTTCCAGTCACGCATGTGGTCATTTCTGGGTGGAACTGTTACTCTCCCATCCTCAGCTCCAGAGCTCCTGTGGCACTTTCATTTTTCTACTGCTGCTAGGTGTCTGCTGGGTTTAGTCGCCAGCTTGAGCTTCACTCTTTCCTTCATATTTTATTTTTTTTCTTGAACAGACTTATAAGAGTTTGTCAATTAAAATTTTTTTCAAAGAATCAGCTAGT